GAATAGCTAAGAGCGTTGTTATGATCTGGCCTTAGATTAAGAATAATTTAAGAGCACTATTGAAATAGTATCTGAATTGAATAAAATGTGTTGATATGAACTGAATAATATCAAAACTCTGAATGTTTGAAACGAACATTGTGTGCATGATATCAAAAGATTTGATTATGAATTTAGATTCAGTTTATATGGATGTTCGACGCATTAGATATGCTTACTCAGCTTTACCGCTGAGCGTGTAGTGTGTTTTATTTGCTACACGCAGGTAAACAGAAAGATTAATGTGATCCTAACGGCAGATGGGGCAAGATTGTCGGGATGGATGTGACAAGTTTGAAATGATTTATGATATGTCAATATTAAGTTCGCTTCCGCAATATTGTTAAATACTCCGTACTGTATATGTTATGAAAAATATTATTGAGATTAATAAAGTGTGTTTGAAAAGTTTTAAATTTTACGATTACCAAGTTAAATACTTTAGTCCGAAAGGGGCTGCAGACCTGGACGGATTAGGGTGTTACAGTTCTCCATTGATAAGGATGCTAATGTTGGTTCCTTTGAGATTAGCCATCAAAAGATTGCTGGACTGGTCCGAAAAACCAAAGGCATTAAGCATCCCCTCAATGAAGCTCCATTCCATTTCATCAAATGCTAACCAAATGTGTATAGCTTCTTGGGCCATCAGGATGTGATCATCTTATATATATATATATATATATATATATATATATATATATATATATATATATATATATATATATATATATATATATATATATATATATATATATATATATATATATAGGGGCCGGTTCCTGTGAGAATGCACCTTGTGGAGAGAAATGAGAATGAAATCTAGCCGTTAGATCTGATGCATCGTGCGGCTCAGATTGCATCATGCGCTTAGATTTTGAGATAGTGCATTTTCTAAGGATTATGATGCATTTCGACGTGATGCATTTTCAAACCATTTTGTTGCACCGAATTTTGATGGAATCCTGACCCTTAGATCGCACAATCTAAAGCACCAGATTCATTCTCATTTCTCTCCTAAGATCGCATTCTCACCAGAACCTATATATATATATATATATATATATATATATATATATATATATATATGTATGTATGTATGTATGTATGTATGTATGTATGTGTGTGTATATATATATATATATATATATATATATATATATATATATATATTTATATATTTATATATTTTAACATGAAAAGAAACCACCAATTCAGTGGGGTAAGGTCTAGGTAACCCTTACCAACTAGATTAAAGAGAGAATATACAAATGGGTTCAGGTTGACCCAACAAAGTCCCGAAGAAGAAAAGAAAAGCCAAATATAACAACAGAAATTAACAGCTACAAAGAAAAACAAAAAGGACGAATATCTGTCCTCCTCAACTGAGCGTTTCAGCTAGCTCCACTGGTAAGATAGAGTAAAAGATTCAAGGCTTCAATTTCTTCTAATTTCGCAATCTTCTGAGCTTTTTTATTCGACCAGTACCAGTGAATTACAAAGAAAATAACATATGTATGACACACAAGATTAAACCACAATAAAGATGAAACACAAAAAATGCAATAAGTTTTAAAGAATTAAAAATATGTGCATACAAAATACCTGGAATATAAGAATATAGAATTTTAATAACTTAATCTACTTTCTTTTTATATATCGCCGCTCGCCTCGGGAGAAAACCAAAGGCTCAACTCTTCCTGCAAATAAACCATCTCTGATTTATTTCTCCATGGCCGACAAAACTAGTTTATTGGGTTTGTTTTGGGTTACTCTCTCTTATCTAGTGTTTTATAAATAAACATCTCTGCTACTCTAATATGATTTGAGAATCATGATTTTTTTTTGCTGTTGGGTTTCGATTGAACGGCTTTTGATGAAGATAAGCTGATTTTAACTTTGTGTTGTCCTTTTTTTCTGCTTTCTTTTAGGTAAGCAAAAGCGAGATCTATCATATGAGCGGGAGACCAAATGGGCTCTGAAAAAACACAAGGAAAGATCCGAGGAGAAGGTAACCTGGTTTGATTTTGCGGAATCCTCTTGTTCTTTAAGTACAATTTTCTTCACTCTCTTCCAATGATTTGCTGATAATTTCCTCCAGGAGGTCAAAGCAAGGGTCGAGTTGTTGGAGACAAAGTCTGAGGCTAATTTAATTCCAGTTAAGGTATATTTTTTGTAAGTTTAAATAATGTATTGCTTGTCAGATATGATCATGTTCAATTAAGCATCTTGTCATTACTCTGTCCAAAATGTGTTCCAATGGCTACTAATGCAACAGGACACAGTGGAAGGACTAGATGAATCTCCCCATTTTGTTGAGGTACCTGTTCCTATTATCTAAATTGTGCTTATGTTTAGCGCAGCAGAACTGTTGCCACAAACATGACTTATTACGGGGATGATTCTGCAGACGAGGATACTTTTTGTTGTTATGGATTTTACGTCCTTTTCTCCTTAGAGCCACGCTAACACACTTGCCTATTAAATTCAGGGAGTTGCCGAAAGAAAAAAGACGCTCATTGTTGACAATATTTCTGTCCAAGCCAAAATACCAGACCTGTAAGTAGCACCTTTAATTCCTCCTTCATTCTTGGAGCAAGTTTTTCATGACTAACATTTTATCCTCCATTTTCACAGCATCAATTTCTTCAAAGATGATGGAAAAGTTGTTCGAGTTCGAATATTTGTAAACCATAAGGGCTTGAATCTTGGCTTTGGCTCTGTTGAGTTTGCTTCTGCTAACGAAGCAAAGACGGTGAGGGTAGCTTTGCAGTAGCGATGAAATGTATATTAGTAGTCTTTTGGAAAGTAGTGCAACTTATGATGAAAATCGTACAAGTAGTTATTTGAAAGTGCCATTGCTGATTAAATATTTCATCCCACAGGCGCTTGAAAAGAAGAATGGAGAATATTTGCATGGGGAGAAAATGACTCTTGGCTTGGCAAAGACAACTCCATACCCTCAAAGACCCAGGTAAATAGATTTTTCATATTATGGTGATTTGTTCCTATAACTTATTGGTAGAGTTTTGATAATATTAAAACAGTTTTTTTTTAACTTAGGTTTTGCCTAGAACGCAAGGTTTGGTAAGGGATTTAACTACTTGCATCTCGAGTTTGTTATAAAGAGCAAATTAAGTGAAAGTTTTTGAAATGCATGGGGAGCGCTTACAAGGGTTTTTGAAGTTCCAGGTACAAAGACCACTTTCAAAGAGAAAGCTTTCCGGTAGACAAGGAGGAGATACCTCCCCGTTTTTTTGAGGTACAAGTTTTGATTATCTTCAAAATATGCCTGGCTCATAAGAAACACTGAGATTTTAATAACAAAACAGTTGTCACAAAGTTGAAAAATGACTTATTCTGGGGTTGAATCTTCAGATCAGTCTACGCTTTGTTGTTTTGCAATTTAAGTCATTTTGTTCTTAGAGACGTACTGACACACTTGGCTTTTAAATTCAGGCAATTGCAGGAAGAGAAGAGACGATCTTTGTTGCCAATCTCTCTCCCCAAACTAAAATGTTACATATGTAAGTAGCACCCTTGAAATTGCTCTCAGAGCATGTTTTTCATGACTGATATTTTATCTTCCATTTTACAGCATCAAGTTCTTCAGAGTTGTGGGTAAAATTTTAAGTGTCCGACTCATTGTAGACCGCGAGGGTAAGCATGTGGGTTATGGATTTCTTGAGTTTGCAAATGCTTATGATGCAAAGAAGGTGAGAGTAGTTTCGTAGTAATGCTGAAAGAAGTATTGAAGTACTTTAAATCGTGTATACTTGTGATGAAAAAAATACTAGTTGTTTGAAAGTATAATAGCTGACAAAGTGTTAGATATTGTAGGTGCTGGAAAAGAAGAATGGTGAATATTTGGACGATCATATGATTTTTCTTAATGGGGCTAAGTCAGCCCCATGTCCTCCACGACCAAAGTAAATCGATTTTTCATGTTATGGGGACATGCTTATGTAACATTGGTTGTTACTTCTTGCAAGGGTTTTAATGTTATTTTTGTTAATTAGGTACAGCCTTGCAGAGAAGCTTTGGTAAATTATTTTACTTGCCTTTTGCGTTTCCTTATCAAGAGCACATTAGGTGATGTTTTTGGTATATGTGGAGAGACCACAAGGGTATTTTGATATTCCAGGTACGAAGACTACCTTCTACGAGAAAGCTTTCCACTAGAAGAAGATGAACAAGAAAGCCTTCCGACAGAAGCAGATGAGACACTGGAAGAACATGATGAAACTCCCAATTTTTTTGAGGTACCTATTCTTTGTCCCTTCAAATTTTGTCAGGCTCATAAGTAACCCATTGTGTTTCTAACCGAAGTGTTGCCACAAGGATGACTTATATTGGGGACAAATCTTTGGATGAGGCTACCTTGTCTTGTTATGCAAGTTAAGTCTTTTTCTCCTTACGGTCGTGCTAACACGCTTGGCTGTTAGATTCAGGCAGCTTCCAATCCTTCCATAAGACAAAAGACTCTCTTTATTGACAATATGTCTTGCCAAACTAAAATATCCGACATGTAAGTAGCACCTTTATTTTTCTCTTTCGTTCTTGTTGCCAGTTTTTCATGACTAATTTCTCATCCTCCATTTTTACAGTATCAATTTGTTCAAAGATGTTGGAGAAGTAGTTCATGTTCGACTTATTGTAACCAAAATGGGTGAGCTTAAGGGCCGTGGTTTTGTTGAGTTTGCTTCTGCTGGAGAAGCCAAGAAGGCAAGAGCAACTTAGTAGTATTGATGAAATGTGTTTTTAGTAGTCAGTCATTCGAAAAGTAGTGTATGCTTATGTTTAAAATTACACCAGTAGGGTTTTAAAAGTAAAATCTGTTATACTGCAGGCGCAAGAAAAGAAGAATGGTGAATATTTGTGCGGTAATCAGATAACGCTTTGCGTGGCTGAGAAAGCTCCACACCTTCCACCACCCAAGTAAACTTATTTTCCATGTTATGGAGATTTGTTTATGTATCTTATTGCTAGAGGTTTTATGTCATTACAGAAGACTAATGCTATTGTTTTTGTTAATTAGGTATTGCATAGATCACAAGGTTTGGTAAGAGATATAACTAGTTGATTCAAAAGCTTGGTATGAAGAGCACATTGGTATGGATGGATATATTACAAGGGTTTTTGATATTCCAGGTACGAAGACTATCTTCGAGGAGAAAGCCTTCTGATAGAAGAAGAAGATGCAATGGAAGGACTTGATGATTTTTATGAGGTACCTGTTCTTATTATTTCTTCAAAGTAAGCTGTGCTTAGAGGAATCGCTTAGTGTTTCCTAACAGAACTGTTTCCACAAAGTCGAAAGATGAATCTACTATTTATTGATATGCAATTTACATCCTTTTATCCCTAGAGTCGTGCTAACACATTTGGGTGTTAATTTCAGGAGGTTTCTTTGAGAAAAAAGACACTCTTTATTTCAAAACTTCCTGTCGTCTGTAAAATAATACGACATATGTAAGGCCTTTACTTTCCTCTCTCGTTCTTGGAGCAAGTTTTTCATGACTGATATTTTATCCTCCATTCATACAGCATCAATTTCTTCTATGATGTTGGAGAAGTTGGTGTTCGACTCATTGTAGATGACATGGGTAAGCATGTGGGCTGTGGCTTTGTTACGTTTGCTTCTGCTATTGAAGCAAAGAAGGTGAGAGTAGTTTTGTAATAATGGTGAAACGAATGTATGTAGTCATTTGGAAAGTGGTGTATACTTATGATGAAAGTATGATTGCTGATTATATCTTTTATACTGCAGGGGCTGGGACTGAGGAAGAAAATAAGAGGAATGGCCTGTGGTTTTATTTATCTTGACAAGCTTGAGATAGCTCCATACCCTCTCCGGCCCAAGTAAATTGTTTGTCCATGCTATGGAGATTTGTTTTTCTAACTTGCTCGCTGAGTTTTTTTTAATGTCATTTCATTAATTTAATGCTATTAACTTTGTTATTTAGGTACAACCTTGCAGAGAAACGTTGGTATGAGATTTAACTATTTGCCTTTTGAGTTTTATTATCAAGCCCACATTGGGGGATGTTTTTGGTATACATGGAGAAATCACAAGTGTTTTTGAAATTCCAGGTACGAAGACTACTTACCACGAGAAAGGCTTTATATGGAAGGAACCGTTCGAAAGAGACAGTTTTGCGGTAAGAAGATTACCTTCACTGAAGACGATGATTGATAGAAGATGAACCTTTTTGGTGTGTTTTTACTTATGGTCTAGGTAATTGTCTATGTACGTTAAAATATGCCTAGTTTTAAATATTTTGGTGTTAAACCGTTTTCTGCCTTGATTACATTTGTTGTCAAAATCATGAGCCTTGATTACATTTGTTGTCAAAATCATGATATCTATTTTTTCAAGCTAGTCTAAATGTGATGGGATTGATTCTTCATGTCTTACACATTCCAATTCGTTTTCTCATGCTCGTTAGTTCATACAACAACCCAGTTAAATCCCACAAGAGTAAGGTGTATGCAGATCTTACCCCTACTCGAAAGTAGAGAGGCTGTTTCCAAAGAGATCCCCGGCTCAATGTCGAAAGTTGCATTGTTAGACTAACTGCTACTTCATTAATTAAAGAAGAGCACACAGTTTAGAGATCCATTTTGAGTTATTTCATCACACTCCAAAGTCAAAAAATGGTGAAATTTTGGTTTCATCGGAGATGATGGAACTATGCTCATTAGTTCTTATTGAATGAAATTAAAATAGAATTGTTTTGGAAACATATTTTCCTTCATTCAACCACATCCTAAATCTTTTAAGAGGTTCCAACTCTGACTTTATGATGAGTATATTGTTTTCTAACTCTTTATTTATTTTCTCAATTTCTTCTATATTTGTCTAAATTTTAGTTTTTTTTCTAACGGCGGAGTCTCACAAATTGGCCGAACAAGAGAAAACTTAGAAAATCAACACGTGCTTACTAATTTGGTTTTCATACATATAATAGTTAAATTTTGTTAAGGACCCCATGTATAATAATGCACAACCTGCTAGATTTTGTTAAGGAATCCACGTAACTAGCGGGTTGTGCATAATGCTTGACTTCTAATGCCCATAATTTTATTTTTGATAGGATTGAGTATGCTATTCAAAAGAGGGTTGCGGTGCTAGCACACAACTTGTTACTTGTTGACTCGACCTTTTTTTGTAATTGGTAAAAAAGAATCAATTATTTTATGAATGNCTCTGATCCCCCCCCCCCCCATCCTTTTTTCTTCTATTTTTTGTTATAAATTTTTTGTTCTTCCATTATGAATATTATTATTGTTAATTGTTTTTAATTATTATTATTAAAAAATTAATCCATACTTTTACTATATTCTTTTTAAAAAAGCAGTACATATCATTATTTATTCATACTCCTTCCATCCTCCATAGATCTTTACATTAACACTTTTTATTTGTCAACCATAGATCTTCTCATTACCTTTTTTAACCATTAAAATACGACAACTACTCTCACTTTATTTATTATACCTCACCCACCTCGTTTAATACACCCCACCCATTTCATTAAGGGTATTATGGTAAACTTTCATCTTTTTCAACTCTTCTTAAAAACCACAAAAAGTCAAAACGAGAAGATCTTAAGGAGATGAAGGGAGTATTAATTATCATTTTCTTCTTATTCTATTATTGCTAGTACTCCCTCCGTCGTCCTGTAGTATTCGTCTAATTTTGACTTTTGGAACTGTTCATCTAAGCATTTTGACTCATCAAATTCTCTCAATGTGTAAGCCTAAATATAGTATGTGTGATCTTGTTTGATTTGTCTTAACATATAGGTTATTAATATATAATTTCTATAATTTTTTAATATACAAATTACAAGATAAAATGGATTAAAGAAGTGCATTGCATGGTGTGTAAAAATGAAAGTGGACAAATACTCTGGGACGGAGGTAGTATTAATTATTTAATATTAATATTATTTATTTATTTAATATTATTACTATTATTATTAAAAATTAATTATTTGTTCTAATATTTTTTGGAAAAATATCACTAATTGTAATTTAGAAAAATAGATTTTATTCTTTTTAAAAAACACTATTTATTATTAATACTACTCCCTCCGTCCCTTAGTTTTTATTCACTTTTGACTTTTGGAACTGTTCATCTAAGTACTTTGACTCATCAAATTCTCTCAATGTATAAGCCTAAATATAGTCATCATTGTGATCCTGTTTGATTTGTCTTAACATATAGATTATTAATATATAATTTGTATAATTTTTAATATACAAATTACTAGATAAAATGGATTAAAGAAGTGCATTGGATGGTGTGTAAAAATGAAAGTAGACAAAAACTAAGGGACATAGGGAATACTATTTATTAAAAGAAAGTTTTTAGTAAGGTGGCGGTTCGGGTGACATGAACCCCATGTCATCCTATGACATTGGCCCCGATTAGGATATCTACAACGCTCCGTTCAAAAAATTGATGATTCTCCCCCCCCCCCCAAATCTCCCCGGTAAACCACCCACCCCTGGCCCGGCCCAAACATACCCCCGCACCCGTAGCAACTGCATGCCACTAAATCCTGTGTTATGCAGTATAATTGACGGTGGTACGCGGTATGTTCGGAGTGGAGGGTTTACCGGGGGTGTTGGGAGTGGGTAGGAACAATCAATTTTTCGAATGGAGCATCGTATGAATCTCGGATCATCCTACAACATTGAATCTCAATGTCATGGAAACCAAGATGATTTAGTAATTTAACTATCGTATTTTTTATATAAAACAATAAAACTTATTAATATTACTTTGTGCTAGTTATTATTTCTTATTATTTTCTTCTTCTTCTATTTTTATTTTTATTTTATTTATTATTTATTATTAATATTAATTAATTAGTAGTTTGATTACTTTATTTTTTTAAGAAAAATATCACTTATTATTATTTAAAAAAAATCTTTAGTAGTTTTACTACTATATTTAGAAACTATAGAAGAAGAAAAAAGAGGAGAGTGCTGTAGCGGATGGAATGGAAAAGAAGAAAGAAGAAAGATCCAAATATGGCAATGAAGAAGAAGAAGAAGATAATAGAGAGTTGAGTTTGATGGAGAAACGGACGGATTGTCAATTTTTCATTCATTTAAAGATACTCCAAGGTTTTGAAAATTAATAGGACAAGTGGTATATGGAATGGGAAAGACTTTCCGTTAAAACCTCAACAATGTGGATTCTAAATTTTTTATTACTAAAATTGCAAAATGGATTTACCAAAAGAAATTGATTTGTTTTTCCGAACATCACATGAATAGTTTTTTCTTATGAAGATTTTTTTTATTTAATTGTGCATTAAATATTGAAAACGATCTCAAATTAAAAATTCTTGGATTTTAACTCTATTCTATTAGGTTCTCACTTTTAGCTTCCATTATTTTCCAACTCTTTTAATTTTTTAAAACTTTTAGTTTTTTCTCCTATTCTTTCAAAATTTTTCAACACTTCAAGTTTCTTCAATTGATTCTACTTTCTTTTATTACAATTTTTATTTATTTTCTAATATTATTACTATTATTTATTAAAAGAAAGCTTTTAGTAATTTTACTATTGTACTCCTTTATAAAATAATAGAACATATTAATATTACGTTGTACAAACTATTACTCCCTCCGTCCCCAATTTGATTACAAATTGCGAGTTACGGAGTAAAATTTTTCTATTTTTTGAAATCATTTTATTTACAAATTGGTATATTAATAAGCTATAAAAATTACATATAAAAAAACTACGTCAAAAGTTCTACAAAACAAGAGGTGACAAGAATATTTTATTTTATCAAATACTTGATGAAATCGCGTAAACAAACAAAAGTTATCGAGACGAGAGAAAAAAAATATTGTAATCTATTTAGGGATGGATGGAGTATTTATTTTTTATTATTTTCTGCTTCTACTTTTGCTATTTTTATTTTTATTCATTATAATTAAAAATTAATTAGTTGTTTTATTACTTTATTTTTTGAAGAAAAGTAACACTTATTATTATTATTAAAAATTATTCGTAGTTTTACTACTCTAGTTTTGTCATCCGATGTTTTTTTATTTGTCACGCAACAATTATCGCCATCCGTCATTACTAATACGAAACGATAAAGGTAGTGTTATTTATCATATAATTATTATGATTAACGACAAATAATTTTTAGCTAAGTCGATAAACAATCTTAATTTCAATTAAAGCTTACAAATATTTTAACCTTTTTTTACTCAATTGATGAAGATCATGAAAAAGGTTAAATGAGGACATACAATTTCCAAATTTATAGTTTTTTCCCAATTCTTTCATATTTTTTCAACACTTCAAGTTTTTTCATTCCATTCTCCTTTCTTCTATCTATTCTATGTGTTTTCAACTCCTAGTTTCTTTTAACTTCCTCCAACACTGACATAAAAATTATTTAGTTGCATTTTTTATGATGTTCTTATTAAAATTATTATCTTTATCAATGTCAATGAAATAAGAGAATAATGAAGTAAAGTCACAATTTGTATCGCGAAATAATATTTTTGTCCCAAAAAGGTATAATTAGCGTTACAAATTAAAATTAAATATTGTTTTGCAACAATAATAATAATAGCAAGGAAAAAGTGTGGATAGAGCCATGTTGGGAGTGAATTTAGTTGTACCCTAATAATAATATCCAATATTTTAAGAAGTGGCATGAGTGATTAATGCATCGTTTGCTTTTAATTTCGACAAGACCGGAGTTAGTACGATGAAGCGACGGTGCCTCAAATAGTTATTTTGTCGAGACCGGTGTTAATACGAGCCAAGCAAACGATGCGTTACAAAATTAGTGTAACACCCAAATCTGTCTTGGTCTGCAGCCCCTTTTGGATTAAAATATTAACTTAGTAATCATAAAAATTTAAAACATTTAAAACACTTTAATTTATCACAATAATATTTTTCATAATTTAAACAGTACGGAGTTTTCAATATTGTGGAAGCTTAACAAATCATAATCACAAACCAAATTTATTTATGTTCTTTAATTAAAAACCATCACATCAGTTCCGACAATCTCACCTCCGTCTGCCTCCAGAATTATGTCACATCATTCTTTCTATATTAACCTGCGTGTAGCAAATAAAACATACTATGTGCTCAGCGTTGAAGATGAGTAAGCATATCTAATGTGTCGAACATCCATATAAATTGAATCTCAATTCATAACCAAATCATTTGATATCATGCACGTAATGTTCAATTTAGATATTCAATAATCAATATTCAATATTTATCATTCAATGTTTAACATTCAACATTCATATTCAACATTCAACAATATCCTTAAACTATTCTTAGTCTAAGGCCAATCTCTTTAATGTTTACCAACTCTTAAACGAATTCTAGTTTAAGGTTCTTAAACTATATTCCAGTTTAAGGTACTCCTAACTAACCATTAAGTTAGATCTAGTTTAAGATACAAATTTTCAAAAGAGGTTTTCAAAATCTTAAACTTACCTTTGCTTAAGGTCAACGAGAAACAGAACAGCGGAATGCTCACTGTCGAGTTGGGTGGTATCCCCAAACGAGTGATCCTTAAGTTTGGTTTGTAGATCACGTACATTTTAACCCATGCCACCGAATGTTCATAATTATACCCGCAAGGCCTATTTCTAAGCTATCTTAGCGGTCTTCTAGATAGTCTTAGAAACCAACATCAACCTAGGTATATCTTAGAGTTCTTCTAGATATCCTTACAATCTAAATCATTTCATAATCATCAATGTATCCATTTTAAATCATATTTTAATCATCAATAATAATTCTAATCAGTGGATTCATCAAATCATAATCATCATAATAATCATTCATCATAATCATCAATCAACATAACATCGAATAGCAAAAAGTGCCCTAGCTTCGAGTGTTAACACCCTAGCTTAATTACCATCATGCATCACGTAAGGTATTTTTAGTTGTCAAAACATCATTTTTATTCCAAAAAATCATCTTTATATTAATCATAATTTGGTGGTCCCAAAGTGGTGAGATACAAAGTCTACAGGGGGGTGAATAGACTTTGTTTCAAATCTAAAAACTTTTTCGTTTCTTTTTGAAAACGTGAAAATGAGTGTTAATCTAGAGTTCTTGTGAACTTTAGATTGTGTGTGGAATTTGGTGGGTAGAGTGAGCAGTAATCAATATGGATGAGTTAGTTTTCACAGTTAATATATTTGCAAGTAAGAATAAAAATAAAAGAGAGAGACACGCAAACTTTAACGAGGTTCAAAGGTGGGGTAATCCTTCTACGTCCTCAAAATCCACTATGTAGTTGGTTGTTGAATAATGAACCAACAATTACACTTGTGTGAATTTCTGCACGGTATATCTTCGCAAGGCCAATGTTGCTACTGCACTCATGCTGGCTTTGTTGTTCCTTCGAAGGTCACGCTTCTTCAACAACTGCAAGGTCCGAACAATAGGACTTGCAAGATCAACTTGTAAGAAAGTTGACCTACCCCCTTTTAATCAAGAAGTTTGATCAAAAGTTATATCCTTCAACGTTGTGTGGTACTTGAGGCAAGAAAACCTTCAAGTGTTTACACTATAGCTCTTTGGAAGGAGGAGAAGTTTGCTTCTGGATAAGGAGTTTAGAAATCTCTCTTTATCAAGCTTTTTGGGCTAACTGTGAATGAGATAGCTTTGTAGAGGTTGCTTCGTTGTGTTTGTCTATCTCATCATTGTATATTTCTCCAGTCTTCCAAGGATGCTATTTATAGCTGGATTGGATAATCTATCGTTGAATCACAATAGACTATCTGTTGCATTTGCTGGCTTCAATTTTGAATGAAGATCGTGATTTGAAGATTCCTTGTTGGGATGGGTGTTTGGACATACCCAATTGTTTGAGGAGGGATTCCTTTTTCCACATAATCCGTCTTCTAGCTATTGTTCAAGAATTCAGAACTGTAGCACTTTACTTTGTTTGTCTTCTAGTGCTTGTTTAGGAATTCTGGACAGCCTCTTTAATTTTGAGAGGTCCAGATTTTGTCTTCGAGTCATTTGTTCTTAAATCAGCATAATTATCTTCAATCTAGCCGTTGAAAATCAAGAGATTTATTTTTCCTTACCAACGAGTATAATTTCTTCAATCATGACTTAGATAATTTTCTAAGTCTTTTCTTACTTGTCTGCTTCTGAGAGTTCCGGTCTTTCTGAGACATCCGGTTTCTTCGCTTGACAAGTCCGGAAAAGTCATTCTCAGACTTCCAGGTGATCCGCGCTAGTCTTCCGATTTGGATGCCTTAGTCTTCAGCGGGTTGTGGCGAGACATCCGGTTATCATGTAGTCTTCCAGATTATAGGATTTTCATCTGCTTTGAGAAATCCTTACTTGTCTTTGACATTTCCGATCAAGATATCCAATTTCCATATCTCAGATTTTGATTAAGTCTTCAAGCATCAAACTACTTAAAGAAAATATCACAACTTTATTGGAAATCTCAAGAACTCGGTTTTAACAATATTTCTAAAAAGAAAAATTACATTGAATATTGGGGGAGGCCTAAAGTCCCTATTACAATCTAAATACATCATCATCAAAATCTATAATATTTTCCCAACAATTTCCCCCTTTTTGATGATGACAAACAAGTGTTTAAGAGTTCCGGTCGCTGCATTGAGAACTAATTTTATAACTTTCTTATAGTTTCTCATAACATACAGCTTGTTAACAAAAACACTTAAACAGGTACAATTCAAATTACAAGAATTCCTAAACCAAGTCTTGTCTTGAGATCTTGTGATATTTTCCGCCATTGACCGTTTTCAGCTCCAGCAGATTTTGCTTATCGCTGCGGATGGCGTTGCGTTTGATAGATCTTTAATATCCAAAGTGGATATTCAAGATCTTGGAAGCAACACATCTCTCCATAAAGGCAAAAACAAAAACAGAAAAAGAAAGTGGAGGGAAAGGAGGCGGCAGTGGAGGAAAGAGAAATAAATGACAAAAAGACAAGAAAAGGATTTTGGAAAAGAGAATTGATTGTGAAGAAATAAAAATTTTAAATATGAAGGAAATAAAATTTGAAAAAGAGTTTAAATAAGACATAAGGTGAAGTAAAAGTTTTGAAAAAGTAATTTTGAAAAATGCTTGAGAGAAGGGAGCAGAGGTTGCACAAAAAAAAGTTGAAAAATGCTTGTAAGAAGAGTGTGGCGACTGCTCAAAAATTAAAATTTGAAGAATAAAGAAAAGAAAAGGTAAAAGAAAATTTTAAAAGAATAGATGAAACCAAAATGGAGGGAGTGTTGTTTCCAGAGAAGGTGTATGGTGTAATCCTGAAAAATACGAGATTATCACCATAGACCTTCTCTACTGCCGAGATTCTCACCATAGACCTTGAAAGTCTTTTCTTCTCATTACGCTTTCTCTGTTGCAGTCTATGAGGGTGAGAAAGAAAAATTTCTTCATTGAGGGTATTTTTCTTGGTGTTTTTTTCAGACAGTGAGTTTGAAGACTTTTCATATTGAGAGAGTTGGTTGTGATAGGAATGGATTGGAATGTCTGTGTTTAAATAGGAGAGGAGGTAGAGAGAGGGGAGGTTCACGGGTTCCATTAAGTGGGTAGTTGGAACGGTGAGAGTAAAAGAGGTTCATCTTTCAAGAAGTTGAAAAGTTGAAGGAATCTTTTACTAGTTACCAAGGTGTTGAAACTGTAAAAAAAATCAGTTTCGTTGATTTGAAAAACGTAACTGTTTTGGTTTGGCTAAGCCCAAAAGAGTGGCCCAAAAAAATAATCTATGCACTAAAGGGAAATTATTCCTATTGGGTTCTCAAGGCCCAAAATAAAACTATCATTTTTCATTCCCTATAGTTCTAATTACTAATTAGGACGAGGTAGTACCAAAAAAAATATGTGAAATCCATTAATGAAAACTGGTACTATTTTTCCAAAGTCCTGTACATTAAAAATCCTAAGGACCAGTACTTTTAGAGCTAGTTGGAAATGAACTAAAGATTAAATCTTAGTTTAAGAAGGTAGATTTTGTAAAGTACCTGAATCGGAGATTTCCAACTTTAGTACTAACACTGAGATATCCGTCTTCCATTGCTTAGAGTTCATCAATAATTCATTGCCAAAAACAATTGTAAGCCAAAAACAGTTAAGTTCCCCCTGAATTACATTCCCCCTGTATAAACAGTTAAGTTCCTCCTGAATTACATTCCCCCTGTATAAACAGTTAAGTTCCTCCTGAATTACATTCCCCCTGAATGTATGTGCTCATGAATAAATCTCTGAATCATACTTAAGATGAATATTATCAAGCATAATTAAGAGAAATATTGAAGCAATGTTTAAACCAAACAAGCAATGTTTAAACAAGAAGGTGTTTTCATCAAAGCAAAATAGTGTTTTCACATACATTCCCCCTGATTTGATGAAAAAAGCCTTTAGTGCTTCTTGCGCTTTGAAGATCTGGCAATCTCACCAATGCCTTGCATATTTCCACACAGTTCTCTGATGCGCCTTATATTGTTGAGTCTCTCCTCAGTTTGGGCATCATTTGAGAAGTGGGAGGCAATTGCTCCTACAGCCTCTGTTCCATCCAGTCCTGAGCTGGATAGATGATGTGCTGAGTTTTCCGGATTTTTTCTCTGAGCTTCAAGGATTAGGTCAGTCATGTTCAGATGCGAAGGAATATAGGAGATTTCTCCTTCCTTGACTGCAATAGGGAGCTCTAGAATCAATGATGGGCTGTGTTGTTGGAGAATCACTTCCATTTTGCGGTTGCCAGAGTGTGTGCTAAGGTGTCTGAACAGTCTGAATGCTTCCTTTTGATTCTCAATAATAACCTTCAAGTAATCTTTGGTTACCACTTGATTTGCTGAAGACACTGCAAGGGCTGATCTGATGTCCATTTGGAGAAGAGACATTTGCTTTTGTAGACCGACTGTAACACTAGCTATTTGCTCTTTGATTTTGTTAACCTCTTTGAGTTGTTGATAAGAATCTGATGCACAAGCTTCCATAGTTGAGCTCACAGAGTTACTCAATAGAGAAATAATCTCTAGAGTCTTATCCACTGATTTGCTTATCTCCTTGAGATCTGAGCAGTGTTTCTCTTCAGATTTTTCTATTAGCTTGTTGTAACTAACTTCCATTTGCTCTATCTCTTGCCTAAAAGAGGCAAGCTAAGATGCTAGAGCTGATTCAATCAACCCTTGGACCTTTCTTGTCCAGGTTTTTGGTACCTCATCCGGAAGTGTAGGAATGGAAGAGCTATAGAAATGGAAGTTGGTTACCTGATGAGAAGAGGGTGTCCTTTGACAGAGTTGCATATGAAGAGATTCAGCATCTTCTTCCTCACTGATCTTCAGTGTCCTTTCAGATTCTTCCTCTGCTTCATCAAGTATAAAATTTGATATATCCCTAGAGATGTAGTCTCTTTCTTCAGCTACACTCTTTTCTTCAAAAACAGCTGCTGGAGTTTCATAGGTCTCCACTTCATCCATTTGATTTTCCTTTTCAGCTTCTGCAGAATTCCTTTGGACTTCTACAGCTTGTTCCTCTTGGACTTCATTTGTTTCTGGAGGAGTGGACTGCTCCAGAATTTCTCCTAACTTTCTTGCAATCTCACGTTCAGGGTGGTTGGAGATCTCACGGGAGGTTGTGAGAATCTCAAGAACTTGAGATTGGAGGAGTTGTTGAAGTTCTTCTTCTGCTGCTTCTTGGTCCTGTCCTTGTGGAGGAGAGGCTGCATTCTCCTGGACAGCTTCAGGTAGAACTGTTTTCAGGGCAGGTAAGGTTTCCAGAAAGACTGGGAAATCCTCAGTTGTTGCTTCCAAGTCAGCCTGTGCTTCAGAAGTGAGAATCACTTGATTTTCTGTGACTTTTGAGAAGATTGGCTTGAAGACTGCAGGATCCTCATCATACACTTCAAATTCTGAAGCTGGTGTGGTGGCCAAGTGTTCTAGATGCAAATCTTCATAGTTCCTTTGCCACACCGAGTCAGAATCCAGAATTTGTTCACAGTAGTGATTGACTGGCAGTCCTAAGCATTTCTTGATGATTTTCTCATTCTTCAGTTGTTGGTCCCATCCCAACAATTGTTCAGCTGAATTTCCAACCTTCCAGGTTCTCCAATCGTAGTAGATATTCCAGAATTGGTTATCAGCATCATCTGATTGAGGTTAAGATGAGGGGGTTGGAAGACTTTGGACTTGATGAATTTCTTCTTCAAGTTGTTGAGGACTCTGATTGTGGGCAGAGGTTTCCTCAGCAGGTTCCTTCTCCTTCAACTCATCCGGGTTGACATTTCCAGATGTTGAGGGAGAGGTGATTTTCCTCTTCTTCTTCCTTTGAAGTTCTCCTTGGACAGAGACTTCTTCTTCTTCAAGATTCACTGGAGCAAGGTTATGTGGTGCTTCGGCACTGAGAGAGGGAGACACCACTTGCTTCCTTTTGGCAGTTTTCGTCAGATTGATGAGTGGGACATTGTCTGAAGAGCTTTCCTCTGCAGCAGCACTAGCACCAGCTCTGTTTTCCCCTTTGGAAGACAGATAGTATAGCCAATATCTTTCTTCATACTTCTTCCCTTTAGATGCAGCACCCATAGATTCCAAGATGTACCCAAGGTGTAGACCTTGACAGAGGTACTTCTGGTTTGGCTTTCCCAGATGCTTTGAGATGGATTTGAAGAAATGTGCAGCCCAGTTTACCTTTTTTTTGGTAATGAGAGCGTTGATGATGAAGGCTCTCTCTTGGGTGATGTCATCAGCATGACCTCCACTTCCACACTCGAGGCAAGCGATGACCAGTTCCAGAACAAATTTGTAGTCGTTGTTCATGTCTGCTTTCTTCGCTGGGCCAGAGGGAGCTTGCACAGAAATTCCAATAATATTCCAGTCCAGATTTTTGACTGGAAATTTCCCAATTTCAACTCCAGAATTGGGAAGGTGAAGCTTTCCTCCCAATTTCTTTTGTGAGATCTTCACCTTGGTCCTTCCAACAGTGGGCTTGATGACTTGAATCATCCTCTGAGGGTCCTTCTTTGATTTAACATATGTGCCTCCCCATTTCGGTAGAATTCAAGAAATTCTTCTTCATATTTGAGGTGGATCTTTATTTGAAGGAATTCGGAGAGTTCTTGAGCAGCTATCATCTCCAGATAGCTTTGATAGAACTCCGGTGAAGAGCATTTGGCTTGCAACTTCTGGAATTGGACATTGGCGCCGACAACATTCATTTTCTCAGAAATTTGAGTGAGAATGTGAGGAATCTGAAGAAATTTTAGGGTTCTTGAGAAAAAGTTCTGCGAAGAAGACGAGCAAAAATCTGAGTGGGCAGTTGAGATCTAAATAGTGGCAATTGGGTTTAATTTGGGCGATTTATGCGGCTAGTGGCGATTGGGGTTTTTGACTGTTCCCAAGACCACGTGCCTACCCACTATTATGACAGACGTGGAAAGTGGACTGCCATGTGTGCCGCACTCAGTCTAATTGAATTAGACCAATTTTGTGAAGCAAACCGGAAAACTTGGCTTCACTGAGTGGTTTTGTGAAGATATCCGCCAATTGTTCCTCAGTTGAGATATACTTGATTTTGATATCCTTCTTTTCCCCATGATCTTTGATGAAGTGATGCTAGACATCAATATGCTTAGTGCGAGAATGATGCACTGGATTTTGTGAGATGGCTATAGAACTTTGATTGTCACAAAAGATTGTCACTTCTCTTGTCTTGACTCCATAATCCAGTAGTTGTTGTTTCAGCCACAAGATTTGAGCGCAACAACTACTAGCAGCAATGTACTCTGCTTCTGCTGTTGATGTGTAGATGGAGTTTTGTTTCTTACTGAACCAAGAAAAAGAGATTTCCACCAATGAATTGACAGGTACCAGATGTACTTTTCCGATCAACTTTGCATCCGGCAAAGTCAGAGTCTAAGTATCCCACTAACTCAAATGAGCTACTCTTAGCATACCATAAACCCATGTTCTGAGTTCCTTTGAGGTATCTAAGAATTCTTTTAGCTGCTATAAGATGACTTTCCTTTGGTTTGGACTAGAATCTGGCACAAACACCTACTGCATATGAGATATCCGGACGGCTTGCAGTGAGATAGAGTAGAGATCCAACTATTCCTCTATAGAGTGTTTGGTCAACATCCTTTCCATCTACATTCATATCAAGTTTGATGGATGTGCTCATGGGGACAGAAACAGATGACTTCTGATCAACTTTGAATTTCTTGATAAGATCCTTTGTGTATTTGGCTTGATTGATGAGAGTCCCTTCATTTCTCTGTTTGATTTGAAGACCAAGGAAGTAGTTGACTTCCCCCATCATGCTCATTTCAAATTTTCCTTGCATGAGGGTGGAGAACTTTGTGCAAAGCTTTTCCTTAGTTGAGCCAAATATGATATCGTCCACATAGATTTGGACCAATAACATATCTTCTCCATCTTGTAGTTTGAACAATGTCTTGTCAATGACTCCTTTGGTAAATCCATTGTCTATAAGGAATTGAGACAATGTATCATACCAAGCTCTTGGTGCTTGTTTGAGTCCATATAGCGCCTTTTTGAGTCTGTACACTTGATCTCCTTTAGTGTGCAACTCAAATCCTGGAGGTTGTTCCACATAAACGTCTTCCTCTAGGTTTCCGTTGAGAAATGCGCTTTTTACATCCATTTGATATACTTTGAAGTCCTTGTGAGCAGCAAAGGCTAGGAATAGCCTTATAGCTTCAAGTCTAGCAACTGGAGCGAAGGTTTTATCAAAATTTATACCTTCTTCTTGACAATAACCTTTGGCAACCAACCTGGCTTTGTTTCTGACAACAATGCCGTTTTCGTCCATCTTGTTCCGGAAGACCCACTTTGTCCCTATGACATGTTGATGAGTAGGTCTGGGAACAAGTTTCCATACATCATTTCTGGTAAATTGGTTGAGTTCTTCTTGCATTGCATTGATCCAATCAGAATCAGCTAGAGCTTAGCTTCTTCAATATTCTTTGGTTCACTTGTGAGATGAAACAAGCAAGCATAGCTTCTAGATTCTGTTGGGCACTCCTTGTGCGATTGCCAGATTGAATATCTCCAATAATTTGTTGAGGAGGATGATCCCATAACCAACGAAGATTGTGTTGATTGGGATTGACTGGTTGATCTAGTTCAGCTTCTGGTTGAAGAACAGAAGTTGTTGGTGTTTCCGGATGGGTTGGAACTGGGTCTCCATTTCCGGAATTGTCGCCTGGTGAGAGATCCGGAATATTGGAAGGCTGGCCATCATTTCCGGTAGGTGGAAGCAATAGCTCTTTTTACGGTAGGTGGAAGCATCATCTTCACAGAATTAATGAAGAAGTTCACTTAGGTTTGAGTCTTAGTTGAGGTGGAAGCAATAGCTCTTTTTACGTCATTAAAAATATGAGAATAATATAAATAGATACTACTTTGTAATAAAGATAATAACATTAAAAAATTATAGTAGAAAATATTGAAGCAGTGGAATTTTCATTGATTAATTATGAGAGGAATACATTTATATATATACAAAGTCTCAATCCTAGTTATGGTAGGAGAGATATTCTAGGAAACTATACAACTATGGAAACAAATCATAATACAATAATATTAAATATATTTTATACATTTAACATGCTCCTGGCTACGTCGGATGCGCTAGGGGTCGGATACCCAGGCTTTCTCTGAAGTCAAGAAATAAGAGGGAGGGCAGTCCTTTCGTGAAGATGTCGGCAAACTGAGAAGGTGAAGGAACATGGAGAACATTGATGTGACCAAGCGCCACTTTATTGCGTACAAAGTGTATATCAACCTCGACGTGCTTGGTGCGTTGATGTTGCACCGAATTTGATGATAGGTACACAGCACTGACATTTTCACATAAGACAATTGTGGCGCGACAAAGTGGTTGTTGTAGCTCAAGAAGAAGATTTTGGATCCAGCAGGTCTCTGCTACGGCATTGGCAACTGCCCGATATTCAGCTTCACCACTGGAACGAGAGGTGGTGGCCTGGCGTTTGGATGACCAAGAAACAAGATTGTCACCCAGGAAGACACAATAACCCGATGTGGAACGTGTCAACTGGATCCCGTGGGTGGCGGTGCCACTGAGATAGCGTAGAACGTGCTTCATGGCAGTAAGATGAACATCACGTGGAGCATGAAGATGTAGGCAGAGCTGCTGAACAGCATACATGATGTCAGGACGAGTGAATGTAAGATACTGCAGGGCGCCAACGATAGACCTGTAAAAAGAGGGGTTGGAGAGGGCCGAGCCAGCTGTGGTAGATAGTTTTGCTTTCGTGTCCACTGGAGTAGAGATGGGGCTGTGGTAGATAGTTTTGCCTTCGTGTCCACTGGAGTAGAAATGGGGCGGCAGGAGACCATCCCTGCCTGCTCAAGAATGTCGTGGGCAAACTGAGTGTAGTGGAGGAAGAGGCCAGTGGCAGTATGATGCACATTGATCCCGAGGAAAAAATGCAGGTCACCCATGTCTGTCATGGAGAATTCAGTTTTAAGCTGCTGAATGAGACTCTGGAGGAGTGTAGCGGAGGATGCCGTCAGTACAATGTCATCAACATATAGGAGCAGGTAGGCCGTGCCCATGGGCTGAGAGAAGATGAAGAGGGAAGTGTCGGCCTTACATCCTCGGAAGCCAATAGTCTGTATGAAACCTGCAAACCTGTGAAACCAAGAGCGGGGGGGTTGCTTAAGGCCATAGAGAGTCTTCTTGAGTTTGCAAACATGGTGAGGGCGAGTGGGATCCTGAAACCCGGAAGGCTAGCTGGCATAAACGGTCTACTGTAGCTGACCATGAAGGAACGCATTTTTGACATCAAGTTGATGAATGGGCCATCCGCGAGATAGAGCAAGGCTGAGGACAATACGGACAGTGGCAGGCTTGACAATGGGGCTGAAGGTCTCATCATAGTCAACGCCAAAACGTTGATTGAACCGCGAACCACCCAACGGGCCTTGTACCTGGATAACTCACCCGAGGGGCCAAATTTGTGTCGAAAAAGCCATTTACCGGTGATAAGGTTTTGGGAGGGGGAGGGGGTTACTAATTCCCATGTTTCGTTCTTTATCAAAGCATTATACTCATCACACATAGCAGCATGCCAGTTTGGATCTTTTAGTGCACTACGGTAGGTTGGGGGCAATGGGGAAATGGTGGCAGAGGTGTTAAGATTGAGGATTGGTTTGGGGCAGAAGACACCGGCTTTGGAGCGGGTTTGCATGTGGTGGGTGTTTGGGGCTAGGTTGGGTTGTTGGGTTGCGC